TAATAATACTGGCATTGGGTTCAAGAAACTCTGAAATGCTGTTAAAAGCCAGACTGGGTCCATGAGCTTCTCTGCTACTTTTAAAAAAATGTATAATTCAATAGAAAAGGACAAAATTACCCAGGATATGGTCAAATGCTCAGGGCTGACTGGGCGAACTGTTTGGAACTCACGTGCTTTTCACCTGACTGACAGCTAATTATCCATCCTCTACACCTGTGTGATTTCAACTGGATACAGAGGTAAAATGGTTTGTTTTTTCTAAGCACAGTAAGCTCACATGCCTCCAGCTCTCGCGATTTTCAAACGGTAAAACTAAGCTTCAACACGTGACAATTAATTTCCCAAAAGCTGCATTTCTTTGCGAATATAAACTTTTAAAAATCTGGTTAAGGTGTATTTTGTTCGTGTTAGCTTGCAGCCTATAGCTGTGGCGATTAGCCGCCGGCTAACATATTTTTAGCGTCAGGTAAATGAAACCCTATGTTAACAGCATGACCGCATGTCGAGGAGGAGGCGTGGCGTGATGCGCGCTCTCGCCCCCCAACGTGCACGCGGCAGGCTGACACCTTAGCGGTCTGCTAAATCACTGCATTGGAGCAGCGGGAGGAGTAAAAAAGGGAGGGTGGAGGACACCGGCTGCCCTGCCTCCAATCCGCATGTGAGCAGACACAGCAGGAAGACAGAGCTCCATCACAGGGCAACAAAGGGACGCATGCTTTATTCAAAACCTCAAGTAAAAAAAAAAACAAAATTTAATGCTTCCTGCGTATAAATCCAGTCTGATTTCATCTGTCCTCACCTCAAACTAAGGTAGGATATTGAACCAATCGAGCTGATCAAATCTTAATCTTTACAATTCAGTGGCTATTAATGCTTTGAGGTTTAGCTTATAACAATTTGCCTGCTCAAATGTCTAGGATATCTTGTGCTGTTTATTTATATATTACCTTGGAAATGTGTTTTAATGTTGATAAATTGAATTGAGACAGTAAAGAGCATGAAATGGGTGTGACATGTTGTTTAATTATGTGTATATGAGCAGCAAATCGGTCAGGTGTAAAAGCCACTAGGCTGGCACATCACAATTGCTCTAATGTGGCTATTGTTTAAAACCAGATTAGAGATTTTTTTTTCAAAGTGTAAGCATTTTTTTGTCCCATTTATTTTAGAGAATAATAAGACAACACAGCCATGGAGCTGGAGCATTTTGATGAGCGGGACAAGGCTCAGAGATACACCAGGAGAGGCTCAAGAGGTAATGGGCTCCCCAGCCCCACTCATAGCGCTCACTGCAGCCTGTACAGAACAAGGACACTTCAAGCTCTGAGCTCCGAAAAGAAGGCCAAGAAGATTCGTTTCTACCGCAACGGTGACCGATACTTCAAAGGTATCGTGTATGCCATTTCTCAGGAGAGATTTGGGTCTCTGGATGCCCTCCTTGCAGACCTCACGAGATGTCTGTCTGATAATGTCACCTTGCCCCAAGGGGTCAGAACAATATATAGCATTGATGGGACAACCAGGATCACCGCCATGGACCAGCTAGTTGAAGGTGAGCTGTGTTTCTGAATGTTTCTGAATGTGAATTAAACTTGTAGTAAATACATGTTGGGGTATTTCAATTTTCTGCAGGTGAGAGCTATGTCTGTGCATCCATAGAGCCCTACAAGAAGGTGGACTACACAAAGAATGTAAATCCCAACTGGTCCGTAGGTGCCAAGACCTCTCGTGATCCATCGTCCCTTGGTAGTTCCAAGTCTGGGCCTCTGGAAACCAGGGAGAGCAAAGACTTTATAAAACCCAAACTGGTAACTATTGTCCGCAGTGGAGTAAAGCCCCGCAAGGCTGTACGTGTTTTACTCAACAAGAAGACGGCACACTCCTTTGAGCAAGTCATGACTGACATCACAGATGCCATTAAGCTAGATTCTGGAGTCGTCAAAAGGATATATACTGTTGACGGCAAAATGGTAGGTCTCAATACCCTTAAAATTGACATCTGTATGCTTATTTTATGTCCAAGTAGGGCACAAATAGGAGTTTCATGAGAAATTTGAAAAGGTTTTGGTGTCAGTGATACGCAAATCCAAAAAAACGAGCAGCCATAAGGCAAGTTTCAATTCGCTCCATTCACAAAAGGAAAACAAGCATTTCTCTTAGTGCCAAACTTTTAAAATGATTGTTGCCAAAGTTGTTCAGTGACTTCAGCCCTTTTAAATTTGCTTTATTGAATTGAGTATGTTACACAATGTGAAAAACTTTACTGATAATTCACTTCTCTAACAAACATTATCTGTGAGACTTTCATTAACAAGACTGTATTTTTTTATTTATTTAGTTAACATCCCCCAAGCCACGATTGCTTAACATTTTACAGAGTGCATTACCCTTATGCATTAATTGTTTAGTAGGGGGAAACTTTGCATACTTAGCTTGCAGTTAACTCCAGCAGACATAATGTGTAGAAGATGGACACTGGATATAACCAAGATGGCTTCCTTTTTGAGTCCATCCATTATCTTTTACCTGCCTCTTCCTTTCAGGGTCACAGGGGTCACTGGTGCCCATATCGAGGGGTGGGGGTACATCCTGCATAGGTTGCAAGTCCATCACATGGCCACAGATACAAACAACCTTTCACTTTCTCATTTACATCTAGGACAATTTAGAATTACCAATTCCCAGTCAGCTTTTGGTGTGTAGGAGGAAACCAGAGTGCCTGGAGAAAACCCACACATGCATGGAGAGAACATGCAAACTTTACCCAGAATGGTCCGTGGCCTGGATTTGATCCAGTGACCTTCTCACTGGGCGGCAACTGATCCACGGTGCCGCCCTTTTTGAGTCCTGATTCCTATCAGAAGTTTAATCCAGCTCATTGGAGCATTGTTCTGTTCTTCAGCATGTCTCTGGGAATTATTTCCTTACCCAAGTAGAAAGACAGTCTAGTGTGTTTGGTCACCTGGGAATGTTTCCTAAGTGTATTACAAGAATTGGGTTTCTAGGACTCCATCTCATATTTCTACCAACAGTAGAAAACTATTAAAAAGGAATCAATTTAGAGGTTTGCCACCTACAACAAAGCTTCTTGTATTTTTTATTTCTTGTATATGCATTGAATGAAACTTCCAGGACAGTGGTCATTTAGTTTGCAACAATATTTATAATTAATTATATTTATAAACCAGGCAGTCACACAGCTACCATTTTATTTGTCTGGAATTATAGGAGGCAAACAGGACTTTGTAACTAGTGGATTTGGATAAACTATATACAAAATGCACAACAACTGATTAAGCGTCCCAAAAAAATAGGTATTTGAAATGTTCAAAAACTGTTCTGTGCGCTCCTTTTGTTTTGGCTGTGACAGTTTTCTATGGGGAATAGGTTTTTGAAGATGGTTGCTAAGGGACACTCGCTGTTGCAGAACAGTGAAGAAGCAATATAAAGAAAAAAAAAGAACTGTAGTTGTTTCATAAGAGGATACTTTAGGTTTATTTATTCTAAATAATCTTCTGAGAAGGAGATCCTGTGCAGTATTTTTTTTCCTGCAGTTCAGAACTTTGTCATGTTGTGACTCCAGCTGGTCAATGAGCACCCACAGGGATCAAAGGGCCACTATTCATGGGTGTTTAATGTTTTAGTAAACCAAATGCTTGTGCTTTTCATGCAGAAGGAAATTTGTTGGATTCACGGTATCTTCCCAGGCATTAATCTAACTTAACAGTATGTCATTTTCTTATGTTTATATTGCGATTATTATTATTTTTTCTTTTTAAGGGTAGACCTGCATGTAACCATAATTGATTCCTTTCTTTTTCTGCTCATGCCACAGATGTCAGTAATGCACAATTAAGTGGCTTTCTGTAAATGCACGTTTGTGGTTAAATGGTTTCAATAATGATCTGACTATTGACTACAAAGCAAAGGTTAGTGAATTATTTTTGGTGCTTTTTAAATTCGAACAGAGTTATCATAATGTCAACCACTAGTATGTTAAGTGGAACTTTAAATGTTTTGAGCTCAGATGTTGGAGAGACATATATTAAATTGTTGAACAGTTCTGAAGAGCCACAGCCCACAAATTCTAAAGCACGAAATCCGATAATGACATACTGACATTTAGACAAAAAAAACAAATGAACAAAACAAAATAACACTTATTGTCTTGGTCTCAGGGGTTTGTGTTGTTTCACTAACATCTGTCAACAATTGTTTTTTTTTTCTCCTTCTGTAGTCTGACATTAAAAAATATTGTGGATGTTAACATTTTATAGGGACAGTGAAACATGCTTTAAAATGGGCAGTGGGAGCAACTTGAATAAGTAATTTTGTGTTTAATGCTGTAAAAGAATTATATAAAAAAACAATCTTACATGTTTAGATTTTGTTTGGTGCTGTAGTTAAATTTTACAAACAAGACTATTCAAAAGTCTTGAGTTAACCCCTAATTCTTATTTAGCTTGAAAAGAGGTGGACTTGTAACAGTTTTAAGTGGTCTCGAACATTGCTTTTTTGTTTTCTGGTGTTTTTAAAGTTTGCTTTAAATATTGTTTCCTTGAGGTCTATCTATTTTAAATCCAATACCTAACATTTACCTTTTTGTTTTTCAAAAAACAAATCCCAGCTGCTAGGTATAGAAAAAGAAGTCATAGATCAATTGTTGGCAATCAGTATTTGCACAGGATGCTCCTGGACCACAATAATTGTGTTTGTCAGATGGCTGCTATGCTTCATGTTGTGCCACAGAGCCAGAAGGCATCAGTAATCAGTTTAACCACTACATTCATATTTACTTCAGCTGTTCTGTTTGTCTGAAGTTTGGTTTTTTGCCACCACCCCCTCAACTTCCTTTTTCTGTTTATTTTAATCACCATTTTAAGAAGTGATAATATATTATTGTTAATTTTAGAAGAGCATAAATTAAACCAATAATAATCAGTATGACGGGGAATTTTTTTTTTGCTCTATTTGTCCATGTTTATTCTAGTGTGGTCTGCAGTTTGCTCTGTTCAGAGCTCCTCATAGAGTCTGACAGGTGATCTTTATGGTTTTATATCTTCTCCTTGTTTGTATCTGAGCTATTAGTCTGACTGGTGTCGTTGGCAGCAGCTGTGCAGCTCCATCCTGTAGGGTTAAAGCAACCCACACCCCACCAGCTCCACCACTTTTATTTAACTGTTTGATAAAGGGGGTCCAAAATCTAGATTTCACACCAGTAAGAACTTCTTCCACAAAAAGGCCGTATTGAGTCCACCTTCTGTAAATTGAAGTTTTCGTTGGCAGAATGACCTTTTGACTTTTTTAGAATATGTTTTTACTTTGTTGCTAATAAATACAGCTGTGTGTTCTTTGCATTTATTGTTTGTAAATTGAACTTTTACAAAACCTTTCCCAATAAAATACAAACTTTGGGATTTCAATTGGCTGTATAAAATATATAATATAAAATGTTAGTGAAGTTTACTAACATAATGGTAAATCTATGAGCAGTGTACTATAATACTTTCTCTTCCACTTTCATTAGCTCTGTTCCTAATGTCAGCACACTGCCAACTTCTAGACTCCTGCTCAAGTTTTTATAAAAAAATAGCTTACTAGTTTCTTTGATATATCAGAATATGCTTATAACTTATATCTTATAAAACTCATTTTGAGTTACATTGATGTGGAATGTACTTTTAATATATAATGTTTTTTCTTTTTTAGATTTATTTTGAGTTTGTAAGTTGGTTATGGTACATAGTTTCACTCAGCAATTCACTTGAAGCCCAGCTTTAAAAGCATGAAAATGTGATGTACAGGAGAAATTATCCAACTTGTGAACCAGGAGACTGGGAAATTATTATAGTTTTAACATATTGTTCACACCTGTGTAAAGGAAATGAGAGCAGAAGTTTTCTGTTTTCTGACATACAACTGCATTAAAGCACACTAACGTTTTAGAGAGATCATCAAGACTCATCTTGCATCCATTTGCATTTATTAGCTACAATGGCTTCTGTCAGGCAGCATAAGTATCCTTCTGGACATAGTGTTTGTTTCTGCATAAAGAAAACAAAAAGCATATTAAGAACATGCATTGTCCATTTGATTAAAATTTGGTCTTTATTCTGAGTAAAAGTTCAAATGCTTTCATATTGAGAGCATTAATTGTGCTGACATGATTGGACTTTTAAATTTGTGAGTATTAAACAACTGGAACAATAAAATGAATAATCAACATAAATAAAAAGGCATTAACTTAACCTACTAGTAATTTAAAATATTCAAAGACTGATAAATGCTAATGTCACAGATGATAAATGAAATTACACTATGTGTAGTTTATACAGTAGCATTGAGACAATTTTATTCATTTAAGTGTGATTAGATTTCTTATTATGTACAGTGGAATTTTAAGTCTCCTCAGTAAGAATAGTTTTTTTTATTTTGTTGGATATTTTCAAGATGAGGTTTGTCTGTGTTAATTTAATAGCTGATGAGAAATATTTCTTTGCCAGGTCACAAGCCTTCAGGACTTCTTTGGGGAAGATGACATATTCATTGCTTGTGGTCCTGAAAAGTTTCGCTACCAAGATGATTTCAGTTTGGATGAAAGTGGTAAGTGAACTCTGATTCTCTTGGTAGTTCAGAATTTATATTATATATATTAACATATGGTTTGAAAATATGAAGCTGTTATTACAAATGGAAGCTGGTATCTCTGCTGTTTCTACTGCTACTACTTAAACACATACTGCAGAGCAGCTGATAAACAATGTGTTCTTGTTGCTGCTGCTACCTTTCCGCGCATCAAATCTTTACATAAGGACCAGATTTATTTAGTAATAGTACAAAATGACACAGCACTATAGATAAGGGTTCAAAAAGTTGACTGATTAAACAAAAAAGGCTATAAGGGTTTATTTAAAAGGATGGTTGCCAACCTAATCTAGTTTTATAATTGAAATGAGTTGTGTCAAGTTTGCAGGCTAGGATTTTCTCACTTTTTGCCCCTGGTTTTAAGCTGAAACCAACACTGAACCTCAGAGCTGTTACACATACAGAGGAGATATTTTATTGTCTTGTTAATGCAGCAGTACACTTTTATTGATGCTTTTCTTGCTTTACAAGAATGCAGGGTGACCAAATCTTCATCGTATGGTCGGCTCCCCTCAATTCAAAGTCGCTCTTCTCCAAGAAGTGGCGGGATGTCCAGAAGAAGCAAGTCTCCCTCCTCCCCTGGATCAAGTAAGTGCATTACTGCCTTGATATAAAAATCCATAGTTAATTTTATTGTTTTGCTTTGATTTGTTTCTCTTCTTGTCTCTACCAACAGCTAATGGCACTGTAGGCAGTCAGCTGTCCACACCTCGTTCTGGAAAGTCTCCAAGCCCCTCTGCAACCAGTCCAGCTAGCCTTAGAAGACAACAAGTAATAAGATTGATATTCCTTTTTTTTAAGTGAAGAGAAAATAGAGACAGAGAGAAAAACAGAGAGAGTAGTAATTAGAAAGATAAAGATTGAAATAGCGATTAGAAGTATGTTAATTATACATCAACAAAACACAGGACCACACACCCAACATCTGTCCGCTCACCTGAAAAATAAATGGATAAATACATGGAGGGCATATATAAAAATATACACATACCCATACATATATAAAGATATACATACATRCATGCCTACATTCATAAATATTGTCAGTATATACACACAGACATATATTACACACTCAGTGACCAGTCAGAACCCCCTGGATCAGAACACCTGTTTGTGAGCAGTTGTGAACATGCGTGTATATACAAGATTTCTCCAATGAAATATTTAATAGTGACTGTGGAGGACCGAGACCCAACCCCCAAGACACGAGGCAGACATAGGGAAGACCAGAGCCCAAGGGCCCGAGAGGGATCCCGAGCGCAGAGCCCCAAGGGGCACCCGCACGGGAAGATCTGCCCACACACCCCCCAGATCAGACCATAGGGGAGAACTGGAAGAGTCCCCCCAGCAACCACACGCACAGCCCCCGGGGCCAACACCGACAAACTCATGGGCCCCACCGGCACCCGCCATACCAGAGCAGATCCAGGAAAGGGCACAGAGGTCTGGGCCCCCAGGGCGCACCCCCTCCAGGCCAAAGCCCGACAGGTCCAGAGGTCCCGAGCCCCAGCAGGCAGTCACCAGGCCAGGCCGGCACACACCCCAGCGCCTAGCCCCAGACCCCGGGAACCCCCAGCACGCCGGCGGCCAGCCGCACACCCCACCGGGCGGCCGAGTAGCAGCAGGCCCCAGATAAACAATTGCACCATCCCACCCTCATCCTCACCCCCACTCAATCAAAGACATACAAGGATGCCACATTCCACTCATACCCCTGATGCACACTCCATACCTCCCAGGTCCAGGACATGTACCCACCCCCTAATGGAGGCCGCACACACCAGAACCCAGAAGGTAGACCCAATCATTCTGAGGTGGAGAGGAGYRGRYAGCCAAGGCCCGGCCCGGGCCGCACCAGGACGCCCGGCCAGCMCCCCGCCGCAGAGAAGCCACACCCATGACCACCTCACCACACCCCGCCAACGACCAAGTGCACCCCCACAGCCGTCCACCCCCCGGAACCCAGCAGCCACCCCGGCCAGGGGGCCACCCACAGGAACCAAGAGCCACACCTCAGGAGACCAAGCAGCACCAGGGAGGATGGAGAGCCAGCCCCGCCCCCGGCAACCATCCAAGCCCTGAGCCCACCCACAGCCCAGGACCGCACCTGGCGGCCCGCCCTTCTTCAGGACCCCCTCCCCAAATGGCAGTCGGGGAACGGGATGGGAATAAAGACCCTGACACCCACACCCCCACCCCCAGATGTACTGTTGGTGCGTGTTGTTCTATGGAGCAATTAAAAAGGGAAAGAAGAAGAGGCAGAGGTTGATATTCCTATGAGTAAACTAAACAGTTGTTCGTTGATTTTTAATTATTTAATATCACATCCATCAAGCTTGTAACAGTTTCAGCATCAACAAACAATTTAAATAGATTATTATAGAGGATAGGGTAAAACAAGCATTTGAAATAAAGAAAAAAAATATTCAAACTTAAATTTGCTCCCCAGGGTTCTCAACACAGTGGATCTTCACTCTCGTTAGCTTCTACTAAAGTGTGCAGCTCAATGGATGAAGGGGATGGGCCTAACAATGAAGGTAAGATTCAGTAAAATCATTTTAAATAAAAGAAAAAATAGCAAGCAGGACTAAAATATTCTCCCTCTCTTTATTTTTTTTATCTTTAATTTTAAAAGTTGAGCATTTGGATGAGTCCACTGTAGCTCCCGCTGCCATAGGAGATAGGTACAAAGTTGGAAGGATTTTAGGTGATGGGAACTTTGCTGTGGTCAGAGAATGTGTGGAAAGATCTACTGGAAGAGAGTATGCTCTCAAAATCATCAACAAAGACAAATGCAAAGGAAAGGTGAGTATTTGTTAAAATCAGGTGTAGAGTCGCAGAATTTGTGCTAATTTATTGTTCTCTGGGTTACATTTTCTGTTTTAAATAGCAGACTCTAACTTAACTTCCCTTTATATACACTAATTAGAGAAAATAAAACTGTGTAGTTTTAAATCTTATTGATTACATGCATTATTTATTTTATTTATTTTTGTATCATTCAGGAGCACATGATACAAAGTGAAGTATCCATCCTTCGACGTGTGAAACATCCAAACATTGTACTTTTAATTGAAGAAATGGACACAGACTGTGAGCTTTATCTTGTAATGGAGCTGGTTAAGGTACTTTGCATGTCATGTCACGCAACAAAACATTTTGTTTTCAAACACCTTTAAGTGGGTTTAAAAAGTTGTAATCATTGTTAAAGGAAGGTGCTGATTTACCATTTTCTCCAGGGCGGTGACCTCTTTGATGCCATTACGTCGTCAAACAAATACACAGAGCGTGATGCCAGCTGTATGCTGTTCAACCTGGCAAGTGCTATCAAGTACCTTCACAGTCTCAACATTGTTCATAGAGACATTAAACCAGAAAATCTGCTGGTAAGTTCATTACATACAGTCCGTTTTATCCATTAGTGAGATTAGTCACACCAGTGTGTTTACTATACACAGTTGCTAAGCAAAAAGAAAGTGTGAACTAAAGCACAAAAAACTACAAAAATACTATACATTATTGGCTGTGTTTTAAAATCTTCCTTAAGACACATAAAAATGCTTCAAATGTCCTAAAATTAAATAATCATAATTTTAAAATGCATTTTCATATGGTAAGTTTATTTATACAAAATATTGAAAACTAATATTGACCAAAGTTTTTTTTATATTAAAGTTTGATTATTGTTGTGCAGAATATCATATCAAACTGTGTAATATTAGAGCAGCCACTATGGCAGAATTTTGCCACTGTTAACAAACTAGTGTATGAATTAACTTAGAAGAATAGGATACAAATTTTTTTGTATGTATCATGAAAGTTTGTGTGGAAAAGCTTTTTCTTTATTTAAAATTGTGTTGAAACCCTGATTTAAAAATAGTAGGCATTTCAAACGTATCAACCATTACTTGTCTGTCCTTTTTTTTTACAATTTCTCTATTTCGGCACTTTATTTCCCCCACAGGTGTACGTTCATCATGATGGTAGTAAATCTTTGAAGCTGGGTGACTTTGGCTTGGCAACTGTTGTCAATGGTCCTCTTTATGCTGTTTGTGGAACGCCCACCTATGTGGCACCAGAGATTAWTGCTGAAACAGGGTATGGTACAATATGAGTATTGGGGGGGGGAAAATCACAATCTGTTACAATAAATAAGTAGAAGGGTGTTAGTTTCTTAAACCTATCTTTTTTTAAAATAGATATGGCCTCAAAGTTGACATTTGGGCAGCTGGTGTCATCACTTACATACTGCTTTGTGGCTTTCCTCCATTTGTTGGGTATGTGCTTTTTTGTTTGATAGTCTTTTGTTTTCATCTAAATTAAACTTAAATTGCAACACTAAGCAATTGTTTATTATATCACACTGTAGACTATCAGTGTAATAACTGTGTTATTTGATTTTTTTTTAGTACTGGAGAAGACCAGGAGGCCCTTTTTAAACAAATTTTGAAGGGTCAGCTTGATTTTCCTGCACCATACTGGGACAGTGTGTCTGACTCTGCCAAGGTTGTGTTTGCATTTACCACAGTTAGTCTGTGTGTGTATGTCTGTCAGGTCAGATGGTGATGTGTATGTGTATTATTTATGATGTTTAATGATTAGCATATCCATCTATAGGCTCTGATCGGTGGGATGCTACAGGTAGTGATGGATCAAAGATACACGGCTGTACAAGTGCTGGATCACCCCTGGGTCAATGTAAGTCCAACATCATCACAAACCAAATGCAGCCACAGAGTAATTAAATACATCAACAGGATCTGCTGATCTAATGTTGTCTTTATTTTCTAGGGTGATGGTCTGTCAGAGAAAGAGCATCAACTTCCTGTTGCTGGAAAAATCAAGAAGCATTTCAACTTTGGACCGAAGCTCAACAGCACTACAGCAGGAGTGTCAGTAATTACAGTAAGCACTGATCAGTATTCCACCACAATCCCACTGCATGCAATTCAGCTTTAATATGGCAGCTTTTTTATTTATTTTATTTATTTTAATGCTTTGCCATTCAAAAAATTAAAGCTTTAATTATGAAGCTACTGCTTGTTTTTGAGCAAAAGGCTTTTTGTACTTTGGCTGCTATTTTTAAACATTTATATTCGCTAGAACCATCTGCTTTCATTTGCTTTCACACAGAAGAAAATCTTTAGCTTCCCTTTTTTTCCCGCTGGTGGCAACTTCCCTGCAGTCTGTTTACATGACTTCATCTGTCTTTTTGCTACCATGTTCACAGCCAAGTGTTCCTGTTTGCTCAGACCTGTCACCATAGACTGTCAGCACTGCTGTTTGGAGATCTTTCACTACACTTGGGTACATACAGTATATTAACTAGGTGTAGTCAATAGAATTTTAACTTTCATTGTTGACAGACGGATAGTTAAAATGAGTATTTCTCTGCATTTCCAAATAATGGGTTTTAGTTTATTTTATCAGTTAAAAGCACTTTGCTGTTAGTTTATTTGGCTATATTTATATATTTAACACAATGGCAGCGGATGGTTACATGTCATTAGTTTACCAGTGTGATAGTAGTGCTCAAAAGTGTTGAGTTTGGCACCTTACAGAAAACAAGGTCTGTATTGTTTTGCGTTCAACGTGATTCTCTGAGTTGCGTTCATCTCCCTCTGCCCAGCTGGACCAGGACTATACCATCCAGAAGCCAGGGTCTTTGGACCAAAGCCAGCATCCAGGATTAAACTGGATAAGGTATGACACAGCAAAGTGCTAAAGTGCAGTGAGTGCTTCCATGGCAAAGTGCTGGCAGTCTCCATTTCCCATCCCTCAAGGGTTTGACCCATCATCCATCAGCTGAGGCTTTTTTTGTGTCTCATCAGTTTATTACGTTATCTCACTAGTGCTACTGTACTTTTATTGTTGTTTGTTGTGCAGTGTAGGATGATGTTCACTTTACATTAAAGTGTTTTTGTTATGCAAACTGAACTTGATGGTTCATATTACATACTGAGCATTAGAACATCTTTTTTGCAAGAAGTGTTGTCTATGTAGACATTGATTCTCAATTAGTGAGTTGTGGCCCAAAACTGGGTTGTAGACCCATTTTCGGTGGGTCGTGGGCAAAACAACCAATGTTCTGATTGTTGTCAGCCTTATGGTTAATGCTTGAATATGTGACTGATTGTTAATAAAAAAAAGTGGCTACTCAGCCAAATTTTTTTTATATAATTTTGAAACAACTTCTCAGTAGCTTTACTTTATTTCATGTTTGTGCTAAATTTGAGAAGTCTAAAACTTTGCTTGGTATGGTGGGGTGATGATGGGTCTCAAAGTCGAACCAGTTGAGAACCAACTCCGTCCTAAAACATGTTAGACTCCATACCTAACGTTTGTAGGTATGGAGTCTGATGCTAGCAGATGTTGTGGCCGAACCTTTTTTTCCCCTTTGGTCAAGCTTTGCATGGGTGTGCTATGAGAAGTTAAAGTCTCAGCAGTATTGTGTGGTAGCTGCAGCTTTTGTCTCATCTAAAACCGACTCCGTAATGTCATCTCTGGTCTTGTGAAGAACCTAACCTGTCCTGCTATGTTACCCTCTCTCAGACCACGCCACTTGATAAAGAGAAGCAAGTTTTCAGAAGAAGATGCCACCAGGATGTAAAGCTTGTTCACAACCTCCCACACAGTACTGGTGCCAACCCCTCAAACAGTGCCAACCTGGTCCTGTCTCCTGCTGGTTTCACCTCCGAATCTGAAGATTATTCCCCAAATTCGGCTGACAATGTTCATTCACCCACTTCTCCATTCTAAATCTTCCTGAAATGTCAACGTTGTCTGATCTTCTGTGGGAAAGGTGGGGTGTATAAAAGAAAATCCAGAATTGGAAATAGTCTGCTGAGTTGACATTCAGACCCCCCAATATTTATCCACGTTTGTATAAAATACATTTAAGATAGAAGAAAAACTCACTTGAATTAAAACAATACAACTTGATAGCATGCAACAAATTAGATGGATATGACATATTTCCATTTTTAGTAACTCTGAAAACATTTTTTTAATAGTTCAAAATGTAAAACAGTCAGATTTAAGTTATTTGTTTGTTGGCCCTTTTTATTTTTCCTGCTTAAAATCACTGGTTTCCAGTACTATAGAGCCCTCTGATGGTTAGATTGTGCACTGCAGGATGGACTACCAGCCTTGTTCTTTCTTTGAATGTACTGTATACATAGGTGCATCTAAATATTTCATTATATTTACTAACCACCATTCCAATTTATCACTTCCTACAGTATTAACAGCATCAGTCAACTTTTGTCAACTGACCTTATGACAGCTTTGTGCTTTAGGGCCCAAAGTTGTACCGTATGAGTACTGCACTTTTTTAGATATTCATAATGTAAAATAAATGCTGCTACACTTTACTGTAACCAGGAAGAGAGACTTTGAGAAGATTTTCTCTGTTTTATAATAGCTTGCCACTTCAAAAGAACATACGGTGCTAATGTTTGACTGCCGGTCTAATTTAGCAGTTCACGCAAAAATTACCAAATTGTAGTTTTTGGTTGAGTGGCTGTAATGGTGGCAATACAAATGAATGTCAGTTCTGTGTAGTATCGTCTTGTCACATATGGACTCACTCTAGTGAAATTACATGTACTGTCCAGTGGGCACAAAGTGAACTATGCCCTTTTAAAGTGGTGATATGACAAAATTTGTTGCTAGAAATGATTGGCACATCTGATTTTCACACATTAAGTTGAATGTTTAACAATTCAACAGTGCTTCCAGTAAAATTGTGTTTTTGAATTCATAATTAAACAGCTGTTTTTGTTGCACATGTCTTTAATCAAACAACTCTAGCCTTCTGTGGGTGACAGATCAGATATTCATGGATGTGACGTCATTTTTGACCTCAGAGACTCTAACTTGCATGTATGCTATTATACACCATTCAGCTGTTTTGGTCTTTTACGATTGCTATATTTGTAAAATATGAAACATTTGCTGCTGTAATAGTTTTTATGACTGTATGTCAGTTATGGAGCCTGTTCATGGTCATCAATAGCAGAATTAAGACATCTGTATGGGTTCATACAATAGCTAACAGCAGTGTTCACCAGTTTTTGTTTTTAAAGGGCTTTCTTGTTTTGTTTAGAAAGACGGGAACCAAAAAGCACAAGGAAATCAAGTTATGGTGGCAAGTGACAAAAGAAGATGTTTGCTGTAACTGAATTTGTTTTCCATGTCTGAAAAAAATGTAATATGTAGGTAGTTTTTGACTAAATGTTAATGGAATGTTTGATTGTAAATGCTGGTGTTTTCTTGAAGCAGAGTTCGACTAAATGTCATTTTATTCAACCATAGTCTGTAAAGATGTCATGAGGCAACCTGAATGAGGAGCGGGGGAACAGAAATAAATCTGTTGCAGCTAAAAGTCAAACTTTCAACTTTTTTTTTAAATAAGGTTTGCTAACTTTTATTGCAGTGTATCTTGCTAACCAGCAGATGGCAGTATGAGCAAAGGTCACTGACTAATTTTAATTGTACTTTTCTACTGCAAATTATCTAGTACCTCGTGGATATAATACAGGCAGCATAGTCAGTCAGTACAACTTGAAAATTTTAAAGTACATTTACTCTTTATTTAAAAAAAGAATTTTGATGTCATCAGTCTGACCAGGTTTCATTTCAACCAAAACATATGCAAACTGATGGCAACACAGCTGAAATCACATGAAATTTCAAAGCACTGCTTACTTTACAAACTGCATTTTTTATCTCAAAATTTAATTCAAAATGAAAACTGTTTAGAATAAAGAAAAGTAAACCCAATGCCTTTAACATAGTCACACATGCAAAATTACTGCTTTTGGTAGAATGGTGTCATGTAGCACCTGTCTTTAAAAAAAAGTATATATATTTGCATATTTTCATTTGCCTAAAGACAGACACACGGCTCATAGCAATTCTTTAAATCCTTTGATTTGATTACTTTGATCATTATACCAAAAATAGAGTAGTCATTTTTTGTCCAGTTCATTGAGAAGATGCCACATAACAGAAAACCTTCCTCAAACCATTTAGAAACAAAGTGGTATTGCTTACAATAGCACTGAGTTATGGTGTTAACTGCTGGTTATGAACACACAAACCTAAAATAGTTGGGCCAAAACTGGAACAAAAGACAGCAAACTGAAAAAAAAAATACAATATTAATCTCTGAAGTGACATTAATTACTTGATGTTTTAACAAAAGCACCACAAACAGAAATCAATAAATTTAGTCAAACAATTCTGGTATTTAATCCTCTGGTAAATTCTTGTTGCAAAAATTTCACAATACGTTTCTTTTTTAAAGTAGTTGTTTGATATTTAACAGTTTAAATTTTAAATAAATATGGAAATATCAATTTACTGTTGACATATCAAAAACATTTATCACAAAGGACAATCACGCTAAGTTTGACTTCTTTCATTTTAACAAACAACAAACATGGACATTTGTTTTTACAAACATACATTTAACCACTGTATAAGTGCAGACAATGGTCTTGTACATGTAACTATCCAACAACTATCTAACTAAAGACAACTTCAACATTTATTCATGGCTTGCATGATAAAACAGTGATATGTCAAACACCATTTTGATCTTTTTTTTTTTTTAGCTTATGCAGTAAAAAAAACTAAAACTGTCTTTACTCACAGATAAGCTTTTGGACAAAGAAGTACCGGTATTCCAAAAATAAGTTGAACAAATGTGCAAATGTTCCTAACAGAGGTTTATTTTGCAATGATTTTGTTCACAGTTTGAAAGGAAAACATTTAGTGTTTTATTATCTGCAATTGTTACTTTCTCAGTCTCTCTCTCTTTCTTTTCCCCCCCAGAAGAACAGTTTTTCTTAAGTCAACTGAAAACTTGGTTGGTTTTTCATGTAAGATGTGAAAACCAACTATGTGTCCAGACTGATCAGGAACAGAGAAAAAGCAACATGTTTACCCAAGAGATCAGATGAACAAATATAAGGACGTCAAATTCTCTGTCTTGCTGAAGTTCTCCTGTATTCTTGGCCTCTTCTATGCTCTTATCTTCTGCTGTCCAGCTTTGTCACAGGTTGATCTTTTAACTTTCCAAATCTTTCTGAAGGTATTTTACTCATCAGTACCTGTTTTGGTGTTCGTAGTGCCATCGGTTGAAATCTATGTTAAATGCCACGATACTGCCAGAGGCCATGCCTGTGATTAAAGTCCTAAAACAAAACAAGACAAAAAAAAAAAAACAATCATGAAGTTACAATGTTAAAAAGGGGATTATGTAAAGAGAACATAATTACTTATATTTATATTTTTTATGTTTGTGTTCAAAAGCACAAGTAACAAACATATAATTTGTACCAGTGAACAAACGTGGAGATATTTTCTGGTTTTCTCATACAACCGATATTGACTAAAAACCCAGAGCCTTTCTGCAACCTTTTGTTCATGCCTGGCTTGTACGTACAAAAGCAGCCAATTCTTCAGGGTCACATTTTACTGCTACACCCCAAGGGCCTAAACTTTAAGCACAATGAACAGAGCTGCTGCAGAATGGCCCTCTGTAAATGCAGTTCCAGAACTCAGCTCACTTCTGCTAACCTAATGTCAACTTACTAAAGCAAAAGGTTATAACTAAAGGTTTTTTATTTCCAAGTATGTAACAGATTTGTTAAATGGCATCACAAAAATGGTTATACTACTTACCATAGACATTTTATTACTATAAGGAGAGGTTAACACGATAAAAGAAAAATGCAATTTTCTCATTTCTTACAATCGTCTGCTAGTCTTCTGGGATTGTGCAGTTATTTATGTTAGTACAGACTTTATTTCTTTACTCCTTTAGGCCTGTGGTTTGAATGTGTTTGTAAAAGTTAAATGATGTTTATCCTGTAACTGCGAGCAGATTAAATGGTCAGACTTTGTAACCTTGACTGTGAAGTTTGGGTAGTTAGGTCAGATGTTTAAAGCCCAAAATAGAACCCTGTCACCTGTGAGATGAAACTACTGATGGGTTTGTATAGCATGTGCACTTACTGTTATAAAACATGTTAATTTACAGGAGATACTCTAATTATTATCTCATTATGCAACTAGTTATTTCTATAGCTAAAATATACATCGACAAGGTATAATTATTTTATTCTCTATAGGACCTCGGAACATTTAGATTAGCATGAACACAAACCTAAATTCACAAATCTGCACGCAGGGAGTGCTCACACACCTGATACTGAAACCATTTCTCTTAAAGGGTGTTTAGGAGAATCTGTCAGACAAAATAATCTAGTTTATTATCTAAATCCACTTTTTAAAGCCAAGAAATGTTTGGGTTTGACAAGAAGAAGTTTATTAGCCCATGACTTCTTATGCATGGTCACACCAAGGTTGCATCATTTCACAGATGTTAAAAGGCACCAGGAAGGGACTATTTTTAGTTAACTGTTCAGTCACATTTAGTTAATTAAATGAGAAGTGGCCAATTGCAGAGCAAAACACAGAAATGAAAACATAATCCAAAGGTTTTATTGTAAATCATAAAACTGTCCAGCCTTACCTTTGATCATGGGAGAGGTCCATGGCTCGAATGCCTGCATCACAGCCTGGATAAATGTAGAGCTTTCTGAAGTCACAAACCTGCCACACCTCCACAATGCCATTATCTCCACCTGTCACCAGGTTGTGCCCATCGCTGCTCAGAAGAATTGCCTTCAGGAGGGATAAAGAAGAGCTCAACCTGTCACCTCTACTTTAACATTTATCATCTATTTTTAGGAGTTTTCTTGCTGCAGTTTGTAAATTATTCATTGAAATAACAATGAAGTAAATAAATAAAATAAAGCTTTACAATCTGAAGCAAAGTCTTGCAATTTTTTTTGCAAATGACAGTGTGCTGAATTTCTAATGTATAAATACACATCTCATATCACAGTTATTTGAATATCTCTACCAACATGAGAATAAAATGAATTGTGCATAAGGTTTAGAATGCAGATGTTTGACTTATGTTAAGTCTCTTTACCCTGGCTGAATCATTGACCTCCATTTGTGCCAGAAGCTTTCCATTAATACTGAAGTTACAGAAGCGGCCCCTCTCATAGTAAATGATGCAGTGACCTTCGCTGGACACTGTGATGAGTCGTGGACACTGATAGTTATCTGGTCCCTCCAGAGCCCGCAGCAGGTCCCCTGTTATGGTGTGGACCAAACATGGACCCTCTGCCAAACCAAAGAAGCGGAGGTGTGAACCGCCTGTCCTTCTGCACAACAGCTAAATAAATCTATTCACTAAAAAGGTAAATAATACTATATGTTTGCCCATGACAGACCAAGGTTCCACATTTATTAATGTTTTAGTTGAGAACATGCATCATGATGCTTCCTGGTGAAAACTATGAGGTGACGTGTACTGACCTTTGGCTCCACTGATGACTAGGCCCAGTTCTGCACAGACTGACACACATGCCACTTCTTGGTCATGACCAGTCAAAACTGCACGTGGGGATGGATAGTCACCTACAAGATGAGAGAGTTCCATCATAAACCAAATTAAAGGTTATTCTCGATAAACCTGTTGCACTACTCAAAAACTTCTAAGCAATTATTAGTTCTTAAAAAAACACAAATACAAGCTCTGTATTTAAATTGTATGTAAATGTATGGATGCTGTGATGGCTGCCAAACAACTTGACTTCATCCCACGTGTCACTTGATTGATGATAGCCGGGGGAGAGGTTAGCGAGGGGTGTTTCGTGGCACCTGGAGCCACTGACCCTCACCACTCGTTACAATGAGGAAAGTATTAGTATCTCTGAAATTCATTGATCACAAATTTCACATACCTTTCACAAACAATGCTCTGATTCTCACCTCATCTTGTTTTAAAAAATGGGGATGTTATTAAATGTGCTACTTGGTTAACAACAATAAAGAATATATTTCCCATTTATCCATTATTTACTATTATTAAAAAATTTTCATATAAATTAATTTTTGTTTTAGGTTTGTTGTAATTTTTTATGTTGCAACTTTGAAAAACTCTGGAAACTTGTGCCAAAGTCGCACCTCTGCACATACTGACTATTGGTGTCCACATGTGACATTATCTGAACCTTCTGACAGAATCACCATAAAAAGATAATGTAGACAAGTGTTAGACCCCACCACCTTCATCATCTCATCCACTAGCTTGGTTTGTCGCCTCCACAGCTGCAGCTGTCCAGCCGGCGAGCTGGACTGTGATCGATGCATAACAGTCCCTTAGAGACTAGGACCTGAGCAGTCCTGTCAGTCCCAGTGCCCTTTGCTGAGGGAACTGAATGGGACAAGTGTCAAAAAAAAGCCCCCGGGGAGCAAAAGCAAGCTCACCTGCCCAACAAAAGATTCAATCATCCTGCATCAAATGCCTCGTCTTGTGGTAGCCCTTGGGACAGTGGATTCAGCCACCACAATTAACCTGGTGCAAATATCCCCTCATACCAGCATGATGGGCCGAGTCTGAAAAGCCGGGCTGTGATTGAGCTGGAAGTTATTTTAATTATTGCACATTTAAAATGCGTACAGCCTTTTGAGGCCTGAGTGAAATCAATTTCTTGCTCGTACCACACTTGCAAGATGAAGGGAGCAGTGGTCCAGGACACTGCTGCTCCAAACTCGCACAACCTTTAACAAGCATTACAGCAAATGTAATAGGCATGAAATGAAAGTATTAAATGGAGACCTGCCATTGTAAGCATATGAAAAAATGCACTACTGCAAATATCTGCCATCTACATTTATACACAACTAATTTTGTCTTCCTGCATTATATGTGTAGATCTATAAGATTTGTGCAAATTGGGCTAAACACAACTCCCCCTCCTTTCCCATTGTCCAGCTTTTTTAATAATGCTACCTCCTTCACATTTTCCTTTTGTCTACTGAAGATAATGTGAGCAGTGGAAGTGTGAATATCAGGGGGATATTGTTTTCCTGCTGCAGTAACACAAGTGTTGTTGCCCCATGCTAATTGGAGGCATCCAAGCTGAAATTCTTAAATAACTGTCAAAGCCTCAGTAAAGTTAATTAGAGGACACTTGCAACTAATCCTGAGCTCCTAAAATCTTGACAATTGGAGGTACAAGATTACAAGAACCGGTAATACACACACAGTGCTATATGCCAGAGAATTTTTTTTAAGTGTCTTCTTATTTTGACCTTTATTAATCACAAATAATACTTTCTTCTTTGTGCCAAACTGTAACAGTTATTTTCTACAGTCTCAAATATTTCTTTTGAATGTAAACTTTTATTATTCAAGAACAACTAATTAAAACAAGCAGGAGAAAACACACTGGGCTGGATTAGTTTGAATGCAGACAGTGTTTTTTTGATCTTCCTTGTTTAACATTTTTTATCCTGGCCGCTGCTTTGCAATCTGACCACTTAGGTTGCTTCTTATGAACTAACAAATTTGATCACTTTGTTAGTTTTTCTATTCAGTTTCATTTTTATTTTGTTCTAATCTTGAATAAAAACACAAGGGTATATATACTGTATATACTATACTAATAGTACTAATACTAATATACTAATAGATTTGATTTATTTACAACACAGATGAGTCCCTCGGTTTTTATTTCTGTAGAACATTTTTTGTCATATGAATTTAGTTTTGATTAAATTTGTTTTTTTATATACAGTATATATATAAATACACATTTAAGAACAAGAAATATGCATTGATTCAACACTGAATGAGAGTGAGGAAATCAGCATGGGTCAAAATCTGTATGATGATTCAGATAAAAAAAAAACATGCATACAAAATTTTGTTAACTATTTCAAAAATAATATTGCTTTTATGTCTTTGTGAATCCCTACAGCTAAATGAATAAACTACAAAAGTAAGTCAGCTCCTTAAAAGAAGCAACACTAAGCACTGTTAATCAGTTTATTATATCACATGCAGATAATTTGTTCTAGAGTATAGAATGTATTTCTGATGCTGTTAAAATTTTGCCTTTAATATTTATATTGTAAACTTAAAAAAAAACTTGGGAACATTTTTAGTCTTGGGGTTTTAGGCTCAAGAAACATTAGTATTCCAGAAGTAAAATTGTTTGCCTTGTGCAGAGGTTGGATTTTAATTTATTAATTTATTTTTTATTCTCACCATTGTTAGGGTTGTCACCAATAATATGATGCCGCCCACTCCAGTACCACAGCAGCAGAGTAGCATCCCTGGACCCAGAAACAATGTAGCAGTCTCCACCAATGTAAGACTCTGATCTGGCCARACAGGTCACCACATCCCAGTGGCCAAAAATGATCTGGGTCAGCTTGCCTACAGAAAACAAAGAGAGAACATGCATTTTATCTGGTTTGAACCAGCTAACACGGTGACTCATATGTTTAAGATGAAAAACTTGAAGGAGAGAGCAACTGGAAACAATAAAGACCCGAGTTTTATTCTTCTAAGAAACCATCAGTTTGGAATGACTTGCAGTGCCCAACAGTTTGACACAAATATCTAAGCAGCATCTTGTACTCAGCAGCCAAATCAGGAGGGAATATTTCAGTTGATACAGTATATTCATCTGCACAGCATGTCAGGAGAGAGTTGCACCAATACTGTATCATTACTGTCATAGCTCTCAGTCCTCCACACATCAGTGCACACCTCTGTAGGAAATAGAGTTTTACTCTATAACCTACCTGTCTCAGAGGAGTACACACGGAAGCTCTTGTCCCAGAAGCCACACACCAGGATGTAGCGGTTGTCAGCTGTCACCACAAAACAGTGTGTGGTGATTTGAATGCTTTGGTCCACTAGGTCTGTGATCTGACGCTTGTTGCTGCCAGTGTTGTTGGCTGAGAGGAAGAAGAAAAAAAAACTGAAGTGGCACAAACACTTTTTTAACTTATAGATTGCAACAGTTATATAATTATTAATGACAAATTTGGAATTTTGTTTGAGCCTGTGTTCTCCCCTTGACATTTACTCACCGACCAGTGAATCCATCTCTATGGGGAGGTGATGGGCCTGTTCTAGTGAGTAGCCTGGTGCTCCTCGGAGACCTGGACTCAGGTAAGGATACACAAATCCTTCACTGACTACTGAATATTTATACACACAAATACACATTTGCTTCCCTTTCCATGCCGTATTTAGTCATAGTATTTTTAAAAAGATGCATATATTGGAGATCCATGGCTATTTCCCTCACATTGTCAAATTTCACAGAGTCCCTTCAACTATGCAAACAAACATTTTGAGTTCATTTTAATTCAAAATCATGTTTAAAATACCACAATTTTATTATCTTTTTTATTTTAATAAAGTGAAACCCCATTTCCTTCCTCTTCCACAGGATGGCAAGGGTGCTGCAGCTGTGGTCATTAAGGACGGCCACACACTGCTCACTCTGGTCCCGAGCTCCGTGCACTTCTACTGTGACAGATGGGAATGTGTAAGGAGAATGTGGTGCAGTCGTGGCCTAATTGGCTAGTAACCATTGCTTTGGCCCTCTGACCCCGAGGTGAGGTGGATTCTTAGGGAGGGGCCTCGTGGTTAAGGTTGTTCGCACATGTCTGGAAAGAAACATGTGGAAACACTCATGGCCAGCTTACCTGAGAGGTGCTAGTCGCGCTCATAGACAGCTCGCAACAGCTCTATTATGAGCAGTGAGCTGGTTTTTTTGGTGTGACTGTGATGAAGTGATTTTGCAGCCCCACTGCTGTGGTAGGTATCGCATGTGGTGTGGCACACTTTTTTTTCAGAGCACACATGTCTGTGATTAAACATATCACCTCCTGTGTGAGTTTGGCTCCACTCACCTACAGTGTTGTGCCATCGATTGACGGCAAACAGTCGGCTGCAAGTGACGGTAACCACGGCGGGTATGGTGAGATGGGGCAGGGTGTTGGCAGCCACGTGGGTTACAGGCGAATTGGATGGAAACTTCAACACCATGATGACATCCTGCTGCATTTGGTCTTTGAACATCAGAGGACTCTGTGGAAGGAAACACTGTTGAGTAGAAGAGTGAAAAGACAAAAAGTGGAAAAAGATGGAGGGGCACGATGAGACGAGAAGATGAGCAAATTTGGAAGAAAAAAAGAAAAGAGGGAATGAAAACGATGATATGCAGAGGTATGAACACACGAGAGAGAAAAAATAATGTAAGAAGGATTAGTGTGGAGGTTTGAGGGAAAAGTAGGTTCAAAAACAGTGGAGAACTTCATGCAGTGTCACCCCTGGACAGTTTTCAGACAGGAGATTAAGACAGAGGTGGACAGAAATACTGGGATGAAGAAGAAAACTCGTATGAGATGGTTCGTACAGAAAAATGTGTCAAAAACACTCAGTAAAACTGAATAAGGTAACACTTTACTGCAAATTCTTTTTAGCCTTTTATATTCTTAGTCACGGTTCATGTGTGACAGAAATAAAAGCAACTAATACTAACGAAGTGTTTGGTTCTCATCTTAATCTAGACTTTAGGGTCTGTTTGTCCAACACTAAACATATCTTTGATAACAGATAATTAAAATAGTTTTATTAGGTTCTGTTTTTTTAGTTATTTGTATTGTCTGAAAATGTGCAAATGATAAAAGTGACAGTATTTCATGGATTGGACCGGGAAAATGTCAGTATGGGAATGGTGGCCTTTAAGGCCAGTAGAGAGCACTGTTTCTTTTAAACTCTCAACAAACAGGCAGAATCAGCTATAAAACACTGCAGGCTACTGGGACTCCAATCCAAACACATTGAGGGTCTTTGACCTACATCAGGTAAAAACGTCTCAAATATTTCACCTTTGTTAGAATAGATAAGAAAAACAATGTATAGGTATGACAACTTGAATTCATCTTTTTCAGAGTTTTTTCCAACAACTTTCACTGTGACATAGGTTTAAACATCCTTCCTCCCCACCCCTCACACACACAGACACACACCACACAGCTAAAGGTGCAGAGAATGTCCCCAGCATGCTCTCTCTCTCTCTCTCTTCTCACCAGGTGCATGGCGGAGCTGCGTGGAGGATGTGGCTCGATAAGCAACTGAGATGGCGTCTGTCCAAAGCTCTGGATCTGCGCCTCTGTGGCCTGCGGGGGAGAGAGAAAGAAGGGAGAGAGTGGCTGTCACAATCAATATGCATCAAAGTGATGGGTCAATGCGTTACTTGACAATGCAAGCAAATCCTAACTCAGCCGTGCCTCAGAGAAAAGGAGGGGGGGGGGGGGATGGGGTGCACTCCCAATCCGCCTGGGTGCTCCCCCTTCCCCCAACTGCCTGCAGAGTCATCCAAGTGTTAGTATGGAAGAGACAAGCCTTTTCCTATTAACATGCTTCAGTTAACCATTCCCATTTCCAGGAGCAGGGGCCCCAACTGCACAAGCGTTAACCTGGAGTGACATCCAGCTAGAACTGCAGCAGGCTGGCATACTTTCAGATGTTATTGTGCTTGAAACAAAGGAGAAAATCACGTGCATACACACTCTTATAAAATACACAACCCTATAAGCAAGATGTGGTGAGCTGGTTACAGGTAAAGTACAATAAAGGATGATTTATTGAGTAAAACCTCTAAGCCTAGAAGCTTGTGACTAAGGCAGAGGAAAATAAATGCATCCACTGGATAAAAATCTAACAAATATTATTTTTAGAAAACATTTACAATGGATAAAAAAATCTCTTTGTAATGAAAGAAAAAAAACTAAGAACTGCTGAGCTTGACTGAAAGCAGGGCAATCCACGGAGGGAGTGATTGATGTGAGTGGAGCTACTTCCACCATCAGAGGAGCTTGTAGACGTCCGTCAATGCCATCGTGCACAATGGAACATACATCGCTCAGCCTTTCTTCTGCCCCTCTGACTGCTTGGGTGAGTGGCCCTCATTTTCCTTGGCCTGTACAGACTACTCAGTATCAAAAGGACCCATTGGGTAGCACATGCCACAGAAGGATACATAGCACTGGGAGTTTCAAGGTGATGCAGAATCAGGACAGGCCACCTGCAAGGCACACTGTTGCCCCGAACACTGTCCCATCACTTCCCATCTTCCACAGCACCAAAGAACTGTCCACAAAAATGAGAGTAACTGAAAAGCAGTCAAAATCACATGAGTTGATGAACATTAGGTGTTTCCTCACAACACAGTCCAGCAAATAAGCATCTGGCATTATAGGGTGAGGATTTTGTTTCAGGTCACAGTTGCTGATTAATAAAGTAATATGGATACGGGAATCAAAAAGGCTTAAAAGGGTGTGAAAAACTATATATATTTTTTATGATTATTTCATTGAACTTGGGCTGCTGTATGACTCATTTTGGTATTAGACAAAGTTTCCGAGGGCACAGTGACTACCTTCTCCTATGTGTTTTTTTCTTAAGCATGTGTTGGTGAAGAGGATTTGACTTGTTGATGGTTAACCCATGAACTTGTTCTTTCAGAAGATGATCAAAACATGTCAACATTTCTCAGCTACTTAAAAAGTAATCCCCTGAGATGTGTGTCAAAATTGTTATTGCACCTTAATCAGAGGTGGAGAGTAATTAACAGGTTATTCATTAGTTGAAGTTATTGCAGGCTTTACATTTTCCCTGATAAGTGACATGCATTGCTAAAGCCATTCAGATAATCTCCCCTTCA